GCCTCGAAACTCCTGGCAGCAGCAAAAAGCACTCCCGATTTCAGGGGACCTGAAGGGTTGAGGATTTAGGGTTAGGGTTTAGGGTTTAGGGTTTAGGGCTTAGGGTTTAGGGTTTAGGGTTTAGGGCTTGGCGGTTTGGAAAAAACCGAAGGAGCTCGGGGTTGTGGGTTGGAGGTAGGAGGTTCAGGGTTTGGGGTTTAGGGAATTTGCGCATGCTTTGGGGTCTCGTTGTTGTTTGGAGTTTCAGTGTCTAGGTTTTGGCTATACTTAGTGACATAGTGCATGCTGCTTACGTCTTGGGCATGTTTCTTTGATGGAGGGGGGCCATGTCCACCAGCATATGTTTCGTGCCATAGGCTTTGCAATAGCCTTCAGCCCTGATCATCAAAGGAACATCCTGCGTGGGGCATCCTGCTGATAGATCTTGGGCGTGGATGATGCTCATGCCGAACCTCAACCCCTACATTAAACCCGGACACCTACATTCTACGCCCAACATCAGCCCTAAAGCCTATACCCTCAAAAGGGTTCAACTAAGCAGCGATATCTTTCCTTTGGTGACAAGCAATCTTGACGAAAACGCTAGATGAAACTGTCTGCAAAGCGCAAACCATGACTGACCCTCGAAATGCCGAAGTCCCAACCTCGAATACCTCAAAACTCTAAGACGAAAACCTTAACCCTGATCTCATGCCCAAGATTACTTGACACACCTGGACGAAACGACATTCCTGCCGCCTCCTACTGCAGGAGACGCCACGAAACCTGGAGCAAACAAGCACCTGCATGGCCTCGCATTACCCGCAAAACCTACACCGCACTTTACAAAAAACTATAGAGTTTAGCCCCGATAACCCAAACCCGACCCCTGAAGCCCTAGCCCTAGCCCAAAGCCTTCACCCCGGACCCTTTGCTTCGGACCCTCCAAGCCGGAGCCAAACCCGAAACCCCAAACCCTAAACCCTAAGGCCTCCCGCTCCATGTACCAACCGCGGCGAGCTTCCAGGTAGCGCCCGGCGACCTGACTCTAAGGTTCCCTTTTGGAGGTTTAGGGTTTAGGGTTTAGGGTTTAGGGTTTAGGGTTTAGGGTTTAGGGCTTAGGGCTTAGGGGACCTGACACTGGAGTTCTCTGTTGGAGGTAGGGCAGAGGGGGCTTGGAGGCTTCAGGGTGTAGAGTCTTTGAGTTTTGGGTTTCGGGGCTTGGGGGCTTGGGGGTTTTGGGGTTTGCAAGTTCTTGGGTTTGGGGTGTAGTTAGCGGCAAGGAGCTGGCACAGAAGCACTTTCTGCGAGTGTAGCGCAAGAAGTCGGCATCAGGATTGGCATTGAAGCACATGCGCCGGGCTCTGCTCCGGTTTAGGGGTTTAGGAGTTTGGGGCTTGGGATTTGGTATTTGGGGTTAAGGGCCTTTTAAAACTGATATGACTTGAGGAGTTTAGGGCTTAGGATTTAGTAATTGGGGTGTAGGGCCTTCGAAAACTGATATGACTTTAGGAGTTTAGGGCTTAGGATTTAGTATTTGGGGTTTAGGGCCTTTTTAAAACCGATATGACTTAACGCTGGATGCGGCTTTGGCTTTCAGGGCCTCAAGCTTTGGAAAAGATGCCTAAATCTCTACATCCCCTAAACCCAAAAACCCTAAACCCTAAACCCTAACCTTAAACCGTAAACCCGAAACCCCTAAACCCTAAACCCTAAACCCTAAACCCTAAACCT